TTAAACTTCCAGTAGCTATTGGTTATGTAGCAATTGTAGGCGTTCTTCCATATTTAGAGAAATCACTTTTTTAAACTATAGCTCCTAGCTGTATGGTGGATTCAGAAAATGACGTTTGATTTTCTGCAAGCTCTGGTTGCTAGGAGAGCCAAAATGCACACCTTTGATGGGCATCTGTGTTGTATCATCCTCAGCCCTGGGTTATAAGGGTAATATACTCCAAGTTAGTGAGACACACCAGAAGGCTTCCTTAAAAGGCAGTGTGGCCAGCAAGCAGGTCCTAATCTGAGCTACCATCGGCCATACCCTTGTTCAGTTTCTACGCAACTTCTCATTGAGGTACATGAAGCTGCTGGACTGCATTCAGCATGGTGGAATAGAGGGAGGGTCAAGGTGATACACCTGCATTGCATTTTGAATTCATATTCAAAAGCTACCTAGCATAACATCTTCAGTATTGAATATGGCCTCTTTCAAACCTGAGGTAGCCCTGAGAAGGCCTCATGGGAAAGGTTGAGTAAGTTACCCTTATCTAAATACTCGGGACCAAAAGCATTTTGGATTTCTGATTTTTAAAAAATGGAATATCTGTAATTGCATATCTGTACATAATGAAATATCTTGGAGACAGGGACCAAGTCTAAACATACATTTATGTTTCCTATACATCTTATACACATAGCATATAAAATTTTAAATTATTTTGTGCATGAAACAAAGTTGTACATTGAACCATCAGGAAGATGTCACTATCTTGGTCACCCATGTGGACAATTCTGGATTCTTCAGAATTTGGGAATTCTGGGAAAGGGATACACAGTCTGCGTGTGCAGTGCTATCCATGACATATTCCCCGATGTCTGTTCCCTGAGGTAGGCACTGTGCCTAATGGTAGTCCTGGAGCTGCCTGTTATAGGTTGTGTGTGAACTCCTTTGAAAGTTTTCTCACAGTTTGGCAAAGAGAGGTTTCCTGAGCCATGGCTTGTTTTTGTTGTTGTGATGCAAAGTGAAAGAGACTTTCCTGCCCAAAGGCATCAGACCCCTCAGTTTTGGAGAAAATTGGCTTTCATGTTCTTCATTTGCTGGCTTCCGAATCTGACAGATCTGTGTGCCAGTTGAAAGCCAAATTCAACCTGATAGGCTTTTTTCCAGAGCAAACCAAACTGGAAACTCTCCTGTTTTGTTTCTTGTGCTCTTGTTTCCTGACTGAAGAAAGGCAAAAGTGTCTCATAATTCAGTTCTTCAGGCAATGAGAACAAATGCTTGTTGAATTCTGCAGCCCATCTTTTTAAACAATCAATCTGGAAAGCTGCTCTTTCCTTCTCATTTCCCCCCCTTTTTTTTTACTCTCTCTCTCCTTCTCTGTTACTCCTATAGACTGCTGAAATTTAAATGACAGCTACTGTGGGACAGGGAACTATTTTGTTTTATTCTGTTTGCTTACTTTGTTCATAGAAACATCACTTTGAGATACATCTCTCTATAATGTAATGTCTTTATTCAAAAAAAGGCTATAGCAGTGTTTCTCAACCTTCCTAATGCTGCGACAGTTCCTCATGTTGTGGTGACCCCCAACCATACAATTATTTTCCTTACTACTTTATAACTGTAATTTTGATACTCTTATGAATTGTAATGTAAATATCTGATATGCAGGATGTATTTTAATTCACTGGACCAAATTTGGCACAAATACCCAATACGCCCAAATTTGAATACCAAATTTGAATTTTGTCATTTGGGAGTTGTAGTTGCTGGGATTTATAGTTAACCTACAATCAAAGAGCATTCTGAACTCCACCAATGATGGAATTGAACCAAACTTGACACAGAACTCTTACAACCAACAGAAAATACCTGAAGGGTTTGGTGGGTATTGACCTTGAGTTTTGGAGTTGTAGTTCACCTACATCCAGAGAGCAGTGTGAAACAGTGATAGAGCTGGACCAAACTTGACACAAATACTCAATATGCTCAAATGTGAACACTGGTGGAGTTTGGGGAAAATAGACTTTGACATTTGGGAGTTGTAGTTGCTGGGATTTATAGTTCACCTACAATCAAAGAGCATTCTGAACTCCACCAATGATGGAATTGAACCAAACTTGACACAGAACTCTTACAACCAACAGAAAATACCTGAAGGGTTTGGTGGGCATTGACCTTGAGTTTTGGAGTTGTAGTTCACCTACATCCAGAGAGCAGTGTGAAACAGTGATAGAGCTGGACCAAACTTGACACAAATACTCAATATGCTCAAATGTGAACACTGGTGGAGTTTGGGGAAAATAGACTTTGACATTTGGGAGTTGTAGTTGCTGGGATTTATAGTTCACCTACAATCAAAGAGCATTCTGAACCCAGCAACGACGGAATTGAACCAAACTTGACACACAGTTCTCCCATGACCAACAGAAAATACGGTGTTTTCTGATGATCTTTGGTGTCTCCTCTGACACCCCCCTTGTGACCCCCCCCCCCCAGAGGTCCTATCCCCCAGGTTAAGAAACACTGGGTTAGAGCCTCATGAAGACAAGTTGCTAAGAAGGGCTCCTTCCTTGCTTTGATCAGTGGATATAATATGCTTGTGACTTCCATGCATTGACCCCCCCCCCCCCCCTTGCTGGCACAGAGACAGCTCCCAGCAGTTGTAATTGTTGCAAATGGTTCAGTAGCGGCTTGTCCTCTATCACTTTATTTAGAACAAAGTGATAGTGCAGTTGGTCTTGTCACTGGAATAGATAAAGAGCAGCAGCATTTTCCCCCTGCTTCACAAGCTTCCAAAAATAAGAATGAACTGATGATAGTTTCGGCTAATGAGATGCACTTGATTCGGCTTAGAAATCTGAGTTGCAAAGGAACAACCGCAAACCCTCCCATTATCCACCCCCTGCATTCTATTTATTATGAACTGAGATCCTAATATCCTGTAAGGAGCTTTTCCCATTATCCTGGTGCATTTCTGATGCAACATACAGGGTTGAGTTTATATTTACTGCCTTATAGACCAACTATAGGGCGCAAACCATCTGATTTAAGAGTTGTACTAGTAGGAATTTTTATTAGTTGTTTGCAATCACAAAAACCATCCATTTCACAATACACTTCCTTCTCTCATACAGATAACCTGAACTGTAATGAAATGTATTATGGCTGGAATCCTATTAGTAAGATATGATGTTGTACGTCTGTTTTTGGACATTGAAACTCATTGTTTCAGTCATTGCATAGCTGGAATTACCTTCCAACTATACAACAACCAAAAGCCCCTCACAACTCACTTTATAAGTCATGCATCCCCCCCCCCCCATACATTTATGGACTGTCAGGTCAAGGAGATATATCAAGCTATTTAGCTTTTTTTATAGAAATGTTATCTACAGTACCTCCCAATAATGACTGGAGGCCCCTGATGGTGTTTGTCATGGCATATCTAGATGAAGGAAAATAAGCTGGGTCCCTTGCTTTCTGATAATTCAGAAATTGTCATATTGTGGGAGTGACTGTGTGGCTTACAAGATGGGTTTTGGAAAGGCTAGCAGTAAGTGACATAGTAATGTGTAAGAAGTTTGTCTCCAGATACAGAGTATTATTGCATTGTTGCTGTGAGGCTACTACTAGATTGCTAGTGTAGAGCTGTGATAAAGAGAATACGACTCAGGAAATCTCCACTTTGAATCCACAGCTATAGGTATATGTCTGACCAGTCTTTTGTCTACTTTTGTGTGTGTGTGTGTGTGTGTGTGTCAGGAGCAACTTGAGAAACTGCAAGTTGCTTCTGGTGTGAGATAATTGGCTGTCTGCAAGGACAATGCCCAGGGGACACCTGGATGTTTTTGATGTTTTACCGTCCTTATGGTAGGCTTCTCTCATATCCCCGCATGGGGAGCTGGAGCTGACAGAGGGAGCTCATCCACGCTCTTCCCGGATTCAAACCTCCGACCTATTGGTCTTCAGTCTTGCCAGCACAAGGGTTTAACCCATTGTGCCACCGGGGGCTCCTTTTGTTTACTGATCTCCACTATGCTAAGCGTCTAACAATAGTGAGCTGAGTTACAGGAATATGTATGTGCAATTACATGCATGCACACCTCTCAGGACCATTTAACCTTTTTTGTTCACTTCTGTTTTTTGGGTCTCCTGAAAAGATCCTCTAGAACAGTGGTTCTCAACCTGGGGTCCCTGGATGTTTTTGGCCTACAACTCCCAGAAATCTCAGCCAGTTTATCAGCTGTTAGGATTTCTGGGAGTTGTAGGTCAAAAACATCTGGGGACCCCAGGTTAAGAACCATTGCTCTAGAGTGTATGGTAAGTTGGTGTCATCCACATGTGCCCTCAAGGAAATTACTGTTTGGACTACAATTCCCTGAAACTTCCCATGCTGGCTGGGAGATAATAGTAAGGCATAGTCTAAAAATAAGTTGCGGTAACTCTGCCAAAGTTAGATCTACAGACTTAATGGCTAAGCAGATATTCAGAGCTGAGTCTCCCTAGTACATATCTGTTCCACGCTCTACTGTTCCACATCCTCCCATTCAGATGTCTTTTTGTTACTTGGACTATAACCCCAAATGTATTTAGCTATTGGTCATGCTGGATAGTGGCTAGTGGGATTTATAGTTCCGAACTGGGGGGAATAGGCACCAGGTTGGGGACAGCTGTCTTGCCCTGTAATAAAAGGGCAGGTTTATTATGGCTTCATATGTTCAAAGGCTGAGCTCTAATATTGCAAGATGATTCTGGGCCTGAGTCCAAGCTCAAATTAGACCCTGTAATGCCCTTGGGGGAAGTTCTTCCTGTACAAATCCTTCCATTAAACTGTGGCTTGGGCAGAGACGGCAGCAACCTGTGGTACATCTTGTGCGTATGGAGTGTCTGTGAATTTATTCATTCTTCCCATTGAGGAGGTGGCACTTCGTATTAAAGGCACGGATTTTGTCCACCAGAAAGAAAAGCCTTTGAAGATAGCTGTTGGCAGTGCAAGTCTGCACTCAACTTCTCCAGTACAAGTCACAAACTGAGCAGGCCAAAAATGTCTCTCTGGGTCACTTCAAACTCAGGGGAACTTGAATATGCTAAATAGAATGACTTGTGAATGAGCCAATAGAGATGGCTAGGCAGACAGGGTACGTTGGGTTTTTTTCCTCACCAATGGGAGGAGGGGGGGAGTGAACCAGAAGATATAAGCTCAGACAAAGCCAAGCTGTGCCTCTGAATCGTTCACATACACTGGATAAGTAAGGAGAGAGGGGGAGAGAGAGAGAGAGAGAGAGAGAGAGAAAGGAAAGAGAAGGGCACAGAGAGAAAAGCAGAGTCATGATTCTAACAATGGAAACTGGTAAGGTTTTATTTCCTGGTGGTCTGTTTGTGTGTTGTGGGAGAGGACAACTAAACAAAATCTTTACATCATCAGCATTGTCGTCATCGTCATCATCATCATCATCCATTTTTAAAGGCTATGGTGTCTGAGGTTTCCTATTTAGCACATATGTTGTTGTATAAACTCTCTTCTGTTTCCTTCTGGAGAAAAAAAACTGCAGTATGAGAAAATATTTTCCTTCCTATAAAGTACCTTGGATGGGATTAAGGACACGTGTCATATGAACTTGCAGTAGATCTTTGATAATATTCCAAGATGCTGGCGGTCTGATAAATGTAGGAGAGGTTGGGGAATGAGAAGGTGCAATCTTTCGTATCTGGCCTGTTGTTTGTATTTGCCTTCAATGTCACCTGTCAAAGTATGGGGACCCCTATGAATTTCATAGGGGTTTCTTAGACAAGGGGTCTAGTTGGTTTTGCCAATTCTTTCTTCTGAAATATAGCCTACTGCACCTGGTATTGTTTGGCAGTTTCCCATCCAAGTACTAACAAGGGATGACTCTACATAGCTTTCAAGATCAGATCAGAATAATCTAGGTTTTGTATTCAGAAATGTCAATAAAGAAAACCCTGTGGCAGTAAACAGTGTCAGTTGCATGAAGTGAAATATTGTGGGTTTTGCAACTTCCTTTACTGTTTCAAAATTTTGTGTGGTCAGCAAAGACTTTTGTAAGTGCTCAATTTGGAAACCAGAGAAGGATGGCTATTTATCTACCTCGGGGCTTCTATCTGGATTTGTTGGAGTGTATTAGATGGATTATACAAAGTTGGAAATAAAGCTGAGTGTGTTTGTGGTGTGGTATACACTTATTTGGTAAAATGAGCCTGAAATACTCGCCTGTTGTGAATGCTTCCATTGTGTTCTTGGAGAAATTGATATTTTTGTGGTTGTATGCTGTAGGCTATATTTATGAGGGAGAAACAAGCAAAACCAGCTCTGAGTTTTTCTTGTCTGAGAAAACCCTATAAAAATCACAAGGTCACCATAAGTCAACAGCAATTTGAAGTTTTTGCCTGACATTGATGTTCATTTTCATTGTACTTTATTTTCTACTTTGGAATATATCTGTCTCCCTTCTGACAAAACATACATAGGTTTGGTTACAGTGATAAGCACATGTGCTGGATAGCGAATCCCACTGGTCCCAATAAGATTTAATTTTGATTTATAACAGTGTTTCTCAACCTTCCTAATACCACGACCCCTTAATACAGTTCCTCATGTTGTGGTGACCCCCAACCATAACATTATTTTCATTGCGATTTCATAACTGTAATTTTGCTACTGTTATGAATCATAACATAAATATCTGATATGCAGTATATATTTTCATTCACTGGATCAAATTTTGCACTAATACCCAATATGCCCAAATTTGAATACTGGTGGGGTTGGGGGGATGGATTGATTTTGTCATTTTGATATTGTAGTTGCTGGAATTTATAGTTCACTTACAATCAAACTTGACACACACTCCAATGACCAACACAAAATACTGAAATGGTCTGGTGGACATTGACCTTGAGTTTTGGAGTTGTAGTTCACCTACATCCAGAGAGCATTGTGGACTCAAATGATGATATATCTGAACCAAACTTGGCATGAATAGTCAATATGCCCAAATGTGAACACTGGTGGAGTTTGGGGAAACTAGACCTTAACATTTGGGAGTTGTAGTTGCAGGGATATATAGTTCATCTACAATCAAAGATCATGACCAACAGAAAATACTATGTTTCCTGATGGTGTTTGGCGACCCTTCGGACACCCCCTTCACAACTCCTCCAGGGGTCCCAATCCCCAGGTTGAGAAACACAGATTTATAATGTTAAGAATCATACAACAATTGAACTTCAGTTCAGTGTTTTTGTTTTGCAGGAGACCTTGACACATGTGGTTTGTGTTATTATGGGATGCAGGTATGCTTTCTGTTGGAACTCAGCATCACATACAATTGTCAGTACTTTTATGAAAGCCTAAGATCATAAACTAGAATTACATAGTTAAATTGGTATTACACAGACCAGAACTTGGAAAATACCCTAGCTCACAGTCAGCATGGCCAATGGTAGTGCTGGTTGGGGGAATTCTGTGAAATTTAGTCCAAAAAAGTAAGTTTAAAGATTCATAACAACTAAGCTTCAAACAGAAGTCTGTGTTTAGCAAAGACATACTTTGCATTGTACTTAGGACTGTTAATTTGCTATGGAAACAGATCATTGACTTTAACTAGTAGTTTGACAATGGTGTTTACTGAAAGAGTACAGTAATTAAGGGAATCCTAGCATTCTAATCATGTATGTTTGGTACCAGAAAACAGTATTTTTATAACTATTTAAAGTTGGCTAGTACTCACAAATGATTGCCTTGTCCTGTGAAAACACAAGTTAACTACATGTGATTTCAGCAGCTTTTTGTATTGTGACCTGAATGCTACTTCCAGCAATAAATTGGGAAAATATGTTCACATATTCTTATAATGTACTACAGATATTATTCTATACTTCTGCTTACAGGATTTTTATTTATATACAGTTGATATGTGGCTGAATTTTTAAAAAGTCATATGAATTACTGCTGTTGTTCTATAGCAGGCATGGGCAAACTTTGGCCTTCCAGGTATTTTGGACTCCAACTCCCACAATTCCTAACAGCCTACTGAAGTCAAAATCACCTGGAGGGCCAAAGTTTGCCATACTGGCTGTTAGGAATTGTGGGAGTTCAAGCCCAAAGCACCTGGAGGCCCGAAGTTTATCCCTACCTATTTTATAACCATTTATTTTACTCCAAACGCATGTTAAAAAAGGAAGAAGGCGAAAGGGAAAAAGGAAATAAGGTTATTGATTTCTATTTCATCATGAACTTTGATGGATATAAATCAATTTCTTTTGGTGCGCAGTAAATGCTCAGAATAGTTCTTTCTGTTGATGCTTCTTTTTAAAGAACTATTTGAAATCAGACTTTTTTTTGCGGACGATGTGGACCTAATGATGGAAAAAACCTCATGAATATATACCTAAAATAATAAAAATCGTTGAAGAATTTGGAAGATTTGTTGGCCACATCATAAATAAAGAAAAACCCAAAACATTTGGACTAAAAATACATTAGAAGATCAAAATCAAGGAATTGGCAAACATAAATTGTGTAAAGAAAGTAAAATATTTAGGGACACAACTAACAATGGGCAACCATGACCTGATGAAAAATAACTATGAGAAAATTTGGGCCACGATAAGGTCTGATTTGACCAGGTAGTCAAAAGAAGAATGATCACTAATGGACTGTATAGCGTCAATACAAATGAATGTTCTCCCCAAAAATATATATTTATTTCAAGATATACTAATTTTACTAAGTGACAGCTACTTTAAAATTGGAACATGGGACATCTTAAAGTTTATCTGGAATGGGAAAAAAACACAAATGAGATTAAAGTTTCTACAGGATGCAAAGGAGAGAGGGGGGTTGGCGTTCCCAAATTTTGAATCTATATTACAAAGCAGCAGCACTATCTTGGGTTAAAGAGAAGATCACCTTAGAAAACAAAAACTACTAAAGCTGAAAGGAGTTGATCTGAATTTTGGGCGGCATGCCTATTTAGTATCCAGAAAAGAAACAACGGACACTGATTTTTTAAAAAAACATAAGAATCTTTTTTCAATATGGATAAACAAAGTTCCAAATATATTTCAAAAATTCCAAAGAGGACATCACCGGAGGAAGTATTCTGCAAATTACAATACAAATATACATCCTGGCTAACATATAAAAACTTACTGAAAACTAGCAATAATAAGAAACTATTAAAATTATTGGTGCAACTCCAAAGCAGTGGACACTTGATCACCTGATTCCAAAATTGGCCATGCAATTAAAGGGTTAAGATGGATGAAGGATGTATGAATCCAGTGGAGATAATGCAGTGTCCAAAAGTGAATGGTGATTGGTTCTTGCTTTCTTCTTCCATCTCTTTTTACCTATAGGAAGAAAAAAGTTGAAGTCTCTTGGCAACTCTCATATGTGGAGCATGTCAGAGTTCACACTTCTGTATAACGTCTGTGATAAATTCCTTGATAGGAAGTTGTTAATATCCAGGAGTAAGGGAATGCAGCAATTTGGAAGAGCTCCAATCTTGTTTGCTGGCCCATATGATTCCCCTGTAGACAACACAACTTCATTCAATTATGCAGTTAGCTAATGGCAAGCCTTGCAAATGGTGAGCAGAGACTATGGTCCATCTTGACTATTCCTTATATACCTACTTGCCTGCCCTTGGCTGTTCTAAATTATGTTTATAATAGGTTTGGGAACTGTGTTGGATTCCAGCTCCCATAACCCTTGACAATTTGCACACCAGCCCAAAACTGATTATAGGCTAACACATGAACATCCGGAGAGCTATGACTTCCTCGTTGCTGCTTAAGAACCTAGAATATATTTTTAATGGGCATCCTCCCATCTTTTCACTTGAAACTTCTTTTGGAAGTTCTAAATAGAGAATTGGAATGGAAATTGAATCTCAGTTCCTCCATAGGATGGCTGAGAGATGTCACAGTTCTTAACCTGGAAGAACGGGCTTGAAGTAAGTGTGATCATGAAACTTTTCCAATAGTGAATCATCTTAGAGAATGCCTTTCCCACAGAATAGAACTACTAAATCTATAGTAGCTTGATAAATGTCTAAGTGAATTTGGGAATGACAAATAGATTTAGGCCGACTTTATTTCTAATTTTCTTATTTTTGGCTATATTTGTAATATCTTTTGCAATAGTTTTACACTTATTAATATTCTCTTAAAACTCAAGTTTTGGCTTTTCTTTGCAAGATGTGTGTGTTGATGTGTATGTATTTGGAGGGTGTGTGGTGGTTGGGGGGGGCGTATGCATGCTTGCACTCTCTGTCTCTATTTTTTTAAAACACTGAAAAAAATCTTTCATAAGTTGTTCTGCACTAT